CCTGGGCTCACTGAGCTCCCCACCAAAAGCACAGGGCACTGCTCAGTCACAGAGCAGGACCAGGCCAGGCAAAAACCCCTCAGTTTTGGGGTCAGAGTCATCCCTTGCTAGCTTGTGCCACCTTGTCTGCCGGCATCCCTGATCCACCCTTAGACCCAGCACGGAGTGTCTGTGTCGTGTGTTGTCTAACCCAGAGCTGATGCTGCACTCCAGCTGCTGACAAAAAGCTAGAAATGGTTCAGGAGTGAGAGCGTGGCTACCCTTCCCCTAGAAAGTACCAGGGATTGAAATGTAATATTGAGTAAATCTGCAGATTGCTGTAACTGTTGCTAAAAGCTGAGGCAGAGACCGTTTTTGTAACGTGATGAAAAATTTTGGATAGCTTTCGAAATATTTACTTGCTCTTTATTTCAGCTGAGCCCAGATGAGATTTCTTTCCTTATTTTGCAGACTCTTGAAGTTCCAGCCCTGTTTAGTGTGTCTGCCAGATTTCTAGGAGAGCTCTCTGAGCTAGAGTGTGCCTTTGAACCTCTCGGGGTTCCTCATCGCAACCAAGTTCTAATAACAAAGTTTCATCGAGTGAAGTTGAATGGGTGAGATGGCCAGTAGGAATCATGTCAGCATCGCCATTGTAAAATCTCTTCTGTCTGAGGTTTATGAAAGTCAGCTGTAAAAAAGATCACTCCAGGCTGAAATTTAGCAAACGAGATTTCAGACCTCAAACTGGAACAATATCATTTGTGGGTTTTGGTATTTATTTTTTTTCTCAATGACTTAAGGAAATATGTTTGCTTCATGAGTATTTTCTGCTTTCCACCCCCTCTTTGGCTAGCCCTGCAATAGCCTGCCTGGGATCTGAAAATGAAGGTGGGTTCTTCCTTCTTCTACATCATTCACAGCCATAAGGATTCGGAGCCAAATCTCGTTTTTGCTGACGATAATAACAAAACAGAATGCAGTTTTCTTGAACACTTCTGTACTGGATTTCCATTGCTGGCATCCTTACTTGTTCATATCTGTAAAGTCAAGGAGTGGTCTGTAAATGCACACAAAGCGTGGTATACCTGCAGGGGATTCAAACATGAGGCACTGTTTTCTGTGTTGGTTTTCGGGAATATTCTGCCCTCTGAAACCCTGAATTTCTGTGGATCGTGACTAAATTGCTGCTTTGCGTTGAAGCACGTTTCTAAAGAATGGAATATTCCAGCCATTCAGATCCTCAAACATCAGTTCTGGATTTGAATTCTCCGCTCATTCTTGGGGAAATGAAATATGAAATTTGGGTTCATGTAGTGTGGAGTAGGGGAAGCAGGTTTCTGAGTTCTTCCCTCACCCAAAGTCCAGGAAGGGAGCAGGCAGTAAGAGTGATGCTTCTGCGTAACTTCCGAGTCCAGCCTAAAGCTTGTACCTTGATCTGATGTCTTCTGAGGTCAGTGGCATGGGCTGATCTCTCTGGGAAGAACAGCTACAATGAAGTTTCCTCTTCATTTGAAAATAAGTATTGAGCATGAATCCTGTCTTCTCTGTGACAAGACAGCAGTCATCTTCACGTTTAACTTCAGCTACTGTATTGCAGAAATCAGAGGGTTACACTAAGTAAAAGGAGACAATTTTTTGATTACGCTGTTGCTGTAAAATAAAACTAGCTGGGCTGGGACAGAGATTTCCTTTTGTCCACAGAAGTGTGAAGTCATTTCTGTGATTCTGAAAAAGCAAGAGGCCTAAAAGGGTTCACAGACAACAGACGCTGGGGCACGTGAACTTGTAGAGGAAGGCACAGCTCTGCATGCGATGCAGTTCTCCCTCCTGCAATATTTAACAAGAACTTTTATGACATCGATACGTATCGTAATTGAACATTGTCATTAGATTACATATTTACCCTAATTACATAATTAGGTATGATTATGCTAATTGAGTAAAGACATAATTGACAAAAATCACCAGAAAACAAACATGGAGATTCATGCCACCAAAAGAAAGTGTCTTAATAGACACCGGTGCTGTGAACCTCTCTTGCTCTCCTCCCAGAAGAACGTTTATAGTACGTAGGTAGTTACCAAAGAGCCAGGCATTGATAGATGTTACAAAGGTGCAGAAGTAATGGTAATTAGATGACTTCTGTTTTAATAGTTGATCTCAATTCCTAAACTCAATACTTCATGTCAGTAATAGCAGCAGATATTCTAATTGTCGGAATGACTAGGTGCGTGACACTTTTTTCTGCTGGAAATTACAGTTCCTCTGGGATGCAAATACACTTTCATCTGTCCAAGCTTCATCTGAGCTTAAAGCAGTGGTAACAAAATACCGGTAATACTGAAGCCAAGCTCTCATAAATGGGGAAAAATTGCCAGGATAATCTGTGCAGCAGGCTCTGGAGAGGTCTAAAAATTGACCGGAGGGTGGGTTAGGTATCAGACCCTGGGACAGAAACTGCTTTAACGTTTAGAAAATGTCTTAAAGTCTCTTTGTCTTACTCTGTAAAGCGAGCGCAGGTTACTTACAGGTCCACATAAAGACTTTCTCATTACTATCACATTTGTGCAGAGAGGCGTTGGCATACGTGGGAACTTGGATGGGAGTATTTTCTCCGTGAGGACCTTCTCCCAGCAGCTCGTGCTTGGACACTGCCACGGCACTGTGGAGCAGGGCTGGATCCTTGCAGGGGAAGCACGTGTGCCAAGCGGGGCACAGCTCCCCGGCTCAATATAGTGACGGAGGAGGGAGCGAGAATGCTCTTTGAATGAGTGCCAGCACAGAGCTGACAGCTCAGGGATTTGTAAATGTGGTGATGAAGAGGAAGTTGAAGCTGCAATGGAAGAGCAGCAAGGAGAGGTGGCGAGTCATGAACAAAACAGTCACAGTGGCATTTGCCAACCTGAGAAAAATGTAGGTTATTTAGGCGTAAGTGGAGAGTAAGGAGTTGTTTCGTAAGGGACTTGCTGTTGTAATATATCTAAAAGGACCTTTACTGAGTTGAGGTTACAAATGAAACAAAACACTTTTTCTCCACCTTCTATTTTAGAGCAAATTATTGGAGAGGTTTTGTTTGTTTTTTTGGCCGAGCTCTGCTTACAAGTACCTGATCTGCGAGGTATGCCTGTGTTAGTCTCGATGCAATGGTGATGTAAACACTACTTTCCTTCACTAAACCCATCAGATATAGAAAATAATTTTAAAATGTTTTGAGTTACACAATAGCTCACATTCATGACAAGATTGAGATAAAGGAAAATACTTGCAAGGATAAGCTGTAGAAAGAATGAGTAGCTTAGCCATGTGATACTGAAATGGTTTAGTTTAATAGCTGCAGAATATGAAATAGGACGTTTTCGAAAGCCTACAAGGGAGTTACATCTCCCGTGTCACATAGAAATCGGGTGCGATTTGAGATCTCCCATCACCCTAAATGAGCTCACAGGTTCACTGGCTCCCATAGAGCTGCACTAGTTACATCATCAGAGTTCACGTCGGAGGACAGACATTCCGAGCACAAAAATGACGAGGTTACGTCAAGGAATTGGGATGGTTTCAGGATGCTCAGAGTGCAGGGCCGGAGAGCCACGGTTTCCTTATCCAGACTTGTGGTGGGATCACTGTTCCAACCAATGAAATGGTTAACAGTGAATCTGCTGTTAGAGTACGGTGCTGTGCCGTTAGCTAAAATAACGTGTTGTATTTCCACAGAGCCTATCAGGTCAAAATAAACTTTACCGAATATGGAGTCATTAGACATTCCACTGGTACTATCAACATCATGTACATTTAAACCTTGCAGAGACATTGGTTGTTGGGTTTTGTTTTGTTTTGGTTTTTTTTTTTCAAATATTATTCTGCTGTTACAAGCTGAATTCTGAAGAGTGTGGTATTATTTCTCACCTGCCTCCTTTATTTGTAGTCAGGCGTTGAATGTAAAGGCAGGGCACCGGCTTTTTCATAATCAGCAACGCTACTTTATCCCAAGGAGTAAGAAACAACCCAGATGCCATCTCTTCAGCACAGCTCAGTATTCGTTTGTCGGGTTTGATTCCCATGTAATCCCCTTCCAGCCCAGAGCTGCTGTGCCCGAGGATGCGTTCACCTGCGAGGCAGGATCTCAGGACTGATTCAGTTCCGCTGTCTGCGCTAGCATATTTTAAGATGCTAATCCCTGTTTGTAAGCCATAGTAAATAGGCAGCATACTGCTTTAAGTAATACCTTGGTGGGTAATGGGAATGAGTCACAATGATAACATCCTGGTTGTTTGACTGTGAACTAATACAAGTTAAAAATGTTATGTGTTCCTTGTTAAGGGAACACCGTCTTATTCTGACTGCTGAGAGAGGCTCAGTGTTGCGTTTCTGAAATGATTCCTCTTAACAAGGGATTGATGCAAGGGTAAAATTGACTTAAAACTTCACCCTTTTTGCAGTTCTTCTCCTAACCCCACTTCAGCAATCATCCTTTAAGCATTCCGGAGCCAAGGAGCGTGTTCCAAGGTCAATGTTGTATGCGTTCAAAAAGCAAAAAGACATTGTAGGACAAATTTCACCCTCAACCTTATTTAAGTGCTTTAAAAATGTCTGTGTATGTTCTGTGCTGTAGTGCAGATGCATCTGCTGGGGAGGGGGAAAAGTAATTTTTTGGCCAGGGACAAAAGTCCTTCTTGTGTGAAAAGTGACCGTGATCTCGTGTCTATCTAGCAGTAATAACCATGGCTTATTGTGACTTATCTATTAACATATGCAGTGTGGGGAGCTGCATTTGGTTTTGGTGTCTTTTCGCAGCAAAGCATTTATTAATTCTAAATTAGTGCACTGAGAATTGTGAGGACTCTTTTTAACTAGAAACCCTGACATTATGTCGGCTGTGAAGTGGTGGGTAGCTTTCAGCATTTTTGACTGCATGCATCCAGGTTGAGGTAGTAGGTTGTATAGTTTAGAATTACACCAAGGGAGATAACTGTACAACCTCCTAGCTTTCCTTGGGTCTTGCACAGAACGGCGTGATGAGCGACCATAATTCCTCAGCAATGTTTGCTCTGGACACATGGAACAGGAAAGAGCAGGTAAGATGAGCTGGAAAACCTTTTATTTTCTTCTGCCTCTCTAGAACTTGAGAAATGTTCGTTCACTTGGCCTTTTTTTTTTTTTTTTTTTTTTTTGCTATATTATTGAGTTTTTTAGCAGATTCAGTGGACTAGTAATGCTTGTCTTCCTTTATTAGCATTCGAGCAGCGCAATGTGTAACATTCCTAAAAAGCACCATGGCAACATATCAGTGTTATTGCCTTCACGGTCAGCAATCAGAAGTCTCCAAAGGTAACACGAAAAGCATCCTGTATTGTATCTGTTATGGAGATGTGCACGCAGGTTTCCCTTTCCATTAAGTCTTTGACTAGTTCAGTTAGTTCTGCACTAGGAGTTAACCAAGGCTGTGCCCTCTAGCACTATGAGACCTGGCACACTCATTGTCTCTCAGGAAGCGTAGGAGGCTGGTGCTGATGCTCCCAGGTAAAGCCTATAAGGGTTTTTGTGAAAGTACCTAAATCTACACAGTCCTCAGGAGAGCTGTTCTTGGGGAATATCCATTAGTGATTACAGTCAGCTAAAATGGTGGTTCTTAAGGGTTTGTTTTTTTTTTTTCCTAGGCTCGTACAGTTACATTAAGTGTTTCAAAGGCTGATGCTTCTGGACACATCCAATAGATGTGGTTTGCTTCTCCCTCGCAGCAGCTGGGATTAAGGAGCTGTGGAACCACCCCAAATTTTGTGGAGGAGCTGTGTGGAGAATGGGCACATGGTGAGCCAACAATTCTGGGCAAAAGACCACGTTTCTAATGTATCTTACACCTCTAAAAGGCAGGGAACATACCAAATACACGTAGCTGCTAATGAGATCTGCAGCTTTATTTGCCTGAGTATTCGAGGACTAAAAAAATCCCCTGAAACTCTGGCGTTTATCTAATAAAGTTTGAACACAACAAGTCGAGCTCTTCATGTTGGCAGTGGTTGGGGTCCCTGGCAGCCTGGATGAAGATGGTGGCCCTAATGCTTGGTCAGGGCCCAGAACATGAGCCATGTTGTGTCTTTTTTGACTACATACATGACTAATTCCAGCAAGAGTTTTAAGAGTTTCCAGAAATAAGGGAGACTCTTCGCTAGTGGGTAAGCTTTCTAAGTTAAATAAAAGTAAAGGGTAGGCACGGGCTTTATTTCACGAGGCTAATCTAAAAGTGTGAAAACTATAACTTCATTTCAAGATATCTAAATAATCCAGATTTTTTTTTTTTTTCTGGTAAAATAGAACTTAAAAACTTTAATGTCTGCAAATCCTCGTTTGCCGAATGCAAAGAGCAGCTCTTGGTTTCTTAAGTGTTACCCAGTGCTCAATTATGAGTTATTCGAAGAGCGGATTAGTGGGATTTTATTTCATCTTGTTTTCAAAGAGGTTATAGATATCACTCCCATGGTTTATAACTCTGCACTTCCTTAGGACAAGGCAGGTATCTGAGCTGACACAGGGCTGCTTCTGTGTTTCGTGAAGGCACATACATTAAACACGTGCAGGTAGTTGAAAAGAATCTTTCTGGCACATTTTAGGCCGTACCTTAATTACCTTCCACCCCATTCATCCTTTGGCAGGTGGAAGTGCAAATTTTCAGCTGTAAATCCACAATCTGCATCAACTCACATCCAATGCAGAGCTGTTCCATAAGGGTTGATTTTTTATTTTTTTTTTAACCTGTTTGGTCCTTCTCTAGGAATAGCTTTACGAACGAGTGGTAACAACACTCAAATAAGAACATTCTTTTCTTTTTTGGTGGTAGCGGTTTAGATCTGCTTTGCACAGGTGTAAGAGAACTTCATAAGGTATAAAACTAGTTATTTATACTAACGCACACATTGGTGGCTACCAAACGTAATTTTGTGAAGTTAATCATAGGATGGGTAAATCAAATGGTCTATCTTGCTACAAAGATCAAGGAATAATCATTAAAAAGGAGAGTGGTCAGTGATACATCAAAGCTGACAATAAATTCAATGTACATATTTTTCTTCTGAAGAAAATAGCATTCCAGCTCTCCCCCTGATGAGAGGAATGTATTGTCAATTAATTAGACTGCCATCATATGTCCTCGGATGCCCTTCTATCATATGCCTTCCATATGTCCTTATGTCATATGCCTTCCATATGCCCTCTATGTAATTAAGCTTCTATCATATGGCTTCTATCATATGCCATTTAAATAGATTTCCAGGAGAATATGGCAGTGTTACAATTACGGACCTTTTGCAATGAGTAAAGGAACAACTCATGAGCTGTACATTAAAAGAGGAGGAAGCAAAAGGAAGGTGGCTCGCCCTGAACAGTTCCTTTAATTGCCGGTTTTGTTTCTCTCAGCTTGGGCAATGAGCAGAGAAAAGTGCCCTGTTTCCCTTGTTTTCCATTACTGTTCCATTCCTGGTTTTTATTCAGTTAAGCCTGTGAATAGTCGGAGAGATAGCGACTGTTTTTCAGAGAACAGTTCCACTGGAATGTAAAATGAAAAAGAAACAATCCACCTCCCAGAAAATTGTTTGTCCTACGATAATGAAATGTAAACTTTGATCTTGTTTTTGTCGCTTTAAGTCTGTAACATAAAGTGAAGTACTAGGAATACCATGGTGAGGGAATTAATGAAAATGAGACCGTACACTTTACTTAAGCATGCATCCCCGTTCTCCCTCACGGACAATAGGTGCAGGTAGTATTATGCTTTTCTTGAAGTGGTAATTGCCTGGTAGATAGTGTCCTAATGTACAAGAATATGTAGTGAAATGGATTCCAAATTTACTGTGACTTATTAAGGATAAAGACCAGAAATAGGCACTGATGCTTATATACGTAATAAAGAAAACTGCAAGCATCCCAGGAATGATGAGGTCTTGGAATGGTTTCCAGTGAAAAGACAACTAGTGTGCTCATTTGCCTTGTGCACGTTTGTGTATCCGTACCTCTTTCTTCCCAACAACTTCTGAGACTATTTTCTAATCCCCATCAGATTTGAGAGAGGAGCAGTGACTCCCAAGACTGTTCTGCTCCAGCAAGTTTTACAGAAATGACAGACATCCAACAGTCAGGAAAAAGGTTGAAAGGACAAAGAGAAGGTAAAATAGTCATATCTGCTCGGATGCACAAGCTATAAAGTGGAGAGCAGTTTGTAGCATACGCCAGTTTACCTGGATTAACTGGATTGAGTGAAGAAGAACAGTTCAGACAGATTCCCACTGGCTAGTAACCAGCATGTCCCTGAAGACTTTGTACTCCAGTTGCTAGAGCATGCTAAAACCCATACCATCATGACTCCACTGCTATTTTTATGTGCTCTGCCTAGATTAAGCTAGAATTTACCAAACAATAGCCCTATATTTTGCTGTGTAGGCACAGTGTCACCCACTATTCATAATATAGACGCATTCCTGAAAGGTAGGTGACAGGTCTTATTTTGGCTTAGTCTTTTTATTTACAACTGAATTCTGATTTAAAGCACACACACACACACAAAAAAAAAAAAAAAAAAAAAAAAAAGTCATTAGGGAAATTATTTTGAAAAATTCATGTTGTGCTCCTGCACAATCACTAGTTTGCTGGTGCCACACTCGTAACCTGCATACTAAGGGAAGCCTTTAAGCCTCTTACAGTGTACCACTGAAATTATCTGTCAAGATAACTACTAAAGTGTTGTATTTAGAAATAATTTTTTTTTTCCTGGTTTGCTGGACAGTAAGAAAATCCTTGCAATAGTTCACCGTTGCGTATTTTCTTTTGCTTCTGTGTTTTCACATGGCTATGATACTTGGGAAGGATGGCAGCCTAAGAGTCCTGAAGAAGCAGGAATTCTGCTTATCCACAAAATCCATCCCTGACTGCTTGCGACCCCAAAAGCATCTTCTGGCTGTTCTATTGTTCTGCCTCACAGCTCTCCTTGGAGAGGGCCAGGAAACTGAGGCAAGGGCTGTTTCCTGGGACATGAATGCTGTACCTTTGGAAAGGAGGCTGAAACTAAGATATTTCACCGTTAGAGGAATTATTTTTTTTTTTAAACAATGCCTTTCATCTGTTTCCACGCCCAGCTGAAACTATGCTGCAACACTACTGCTGCTAAATCAGATGCATTAAGTACAGTCAAATTTGTACATAAAAGTTTTGTAAGAACTGGGATGAAATAGAATGGAATGCCAGAATGACTCATTGTTTAATGAATAAGGCCCTAAGTGTTCTATTGATGCCATTTATAAATCTGTATAAAATGTATAGAATTCATGTCATAACTGGAATTCCAAGCACAGCAACCTTGTGAGCTAAATTATGATGATGATAGGGTACTGCACAAATTAATATCAATTCTAACACGCTTCTGCTTGAAAGCTGCTCAGACAGTTAAAAATAAGACAATTTCATTACACAGATTCAAAGCCCAGACCTCAGAAATGCTTCTACTCTCTCCTCTTGAAATTGTAAATTACTGAAGAAGGAAGTTCATTTTGTGTTAAAAGTCAAAAAGTATAACCTGTGAAGGAAACAGATGTCCTTTCGATCACGTGTAGATATTGATTACAATGGAAGATGAAAGAATGAGCTGGTTTAGACCAGATCAATATTTGGAACTCTTCTACTGGAAGGGTCTGAAGCCAGAGCAGAGATCTGAACACACATCTCTCTTTGACTTTCTCCTTCTCATTCTTACTTTTCCCTGTTCATAGCTTGGTGGCTTAGGTATGAATCCAGGTGAAGTTCAGCCTTTCCGGCGTGAGTGTTTGAGATAAGTTCTATATCCATTCAGGCTTCGCTCAGAGACCAACTTGGGTATGTGTGGTGTTGGGCTACCAGTATTTAACCTTCCAGTCTAAACTGAAAGGAAATCTGACGTTTGGAAGTTTTCCGTAGCAGAGAGACATGCAAAATGTTTTATCTGGGAAGAAAAAAGTGGTTTGTTTTTTGTGTTTTTTTTCTTTTTTTTTTTTAAACAAAACAAAACTTCTAGTTGCCCTCACTCCGCCGATGCTCCAGGCAGTCCCCGTTGCATATATTTAGATCTATATTCAAAGTATAAAATGTATTCTTCCTGAGCAAATATTTTTTTTTTCCATGCAATAGGGTGAAATTAGGCTCTTTGTGCAATGTCATGGCCCTGTTTCTTGGTTAAATAAGTTCAAGAATCAGGTTTCTGGGGCAGATACGGAAAGAGATTGAAATTCTGCGTTCTGTGTTATATGCAGTGGCTCCTCCTTATCGCCACCTCTCCCTGCTTCCTTCTCAGATGCAAAGAAAGTGGCTTCCTCTGCAGTTAGGTGATCCAAGATTGCCTGAGGTGTACTGCAAGTGAAATATCACGGGCTAGAAATATTCCAAGCGATTATTTTCTTAAAAGCAGGAGGGAGCCACTCCCTGGCTCCTGCCAGCCACTTCTTGACGTACAACCACTTTTTCTTTGCTAAGAAAAAAACCCACCCACAGTCAAGCCCCCATCTCAGAGTATTGTTCAAAAGCAGTGTAGGTATAGCCAATATAGGCGTCTTGATTCCTGTTTTTCATCTACGTTCTTGTAGGTTCCCACGTTCAGGTAGCCAAACCACTGCGTCGTGCCACAGAGGAGCAAATGTGGCGGTGCAGGGTTCTCCCTTGCCCCTCTCGGGTCACTGAGGATGAGTCCGCTCCCAGCATGAGTCACCCTGCTGCCATTTTTCCTTTCAGCCTTTGCCAAGGTCTGATGACAAGACTGTGATTTCTCTAAGCTTGTCTTTGTTACAGGTGTGACATACAGCTCATACGCTTTCATTATGGCTTTCATAATGTATTAACGAAATGTCAGGATCAAGTCATTTATAATTAACAGTGACGTGCAAATGTCATGTCTAACAGTTAGAGTGTAAGAGTATTTTTGTGAATGGGCCCTTTTTTACACGTGCAACTGTCAATGTCCAAAAAAGCCATAACCAGTCAAGCAAATGGTTGGTAAAGACAGATTTATTTTTTTTCTTTTGTTTACTCCTTACTGAATTCTTGATAGGCAACTAGACCTCATTGCCTGTTATTCCTAGATCCAGTACAGATACAAAGCTCAAGACATAAATAGAAGCCTTTAGAAACATTTCAAGGATGATAAATGTGGAGTGGATAAACCCCTGCACAATACTGATGTAAAATTCGTATGAGCACTGTCTATATTTTGGGGACCAAAGACACTAAGGCACGCAGGACAGGAGCTGTACTACCAAACCTGAGGAGAGGAAGAGTGGCTCAAAAAGGTGCCAGCAAAAATGGCCCCAAGCAGGGAAACTGATATACCAGAACCGTTCCCATTGGAAAGGAAAACCAAATTGACATTATAAGGAAAAGAAAAGAAGGAATGAGGAGGTAGACTGAGAAATTCTCATAGTTTCACAAAGTGAATATGAGGAGACACGCAGTGAGATTAAATGGTGACAAACTGAAAATGTTTTTAAAAGCAATTCTTTTCCATGAGTATTTAATTTAAAAATGAACTTAATTGCTTTTAGAAATTAATGGGAAGTTTGCAAGTCTAGAACAGATTAGATATTTACTTTTTTAATAGCCATACAGAGAATTATGGTCATTCTTTGTAATAACTTTAGAACTGAGTTTAGACTTGAAGTTTCAAGGTTTAGGATGAAGTGCACCAGTTCAAGACCGGGGAATAACCAGTGGGAAGGACAACTCTTGGTTGTCCAAAGCCACTAATACTTGTCACTATTGGAGGGGGCGTGTTAGAGAAGTCTGGATTCTGACCCAGGCTATATCTGTCTCCTGCAAAGGATTAAGCACATAGTTTGCCACTGATAAATAAAAGTGAAGGGTTGATAGATGTTTGGCCTTCGCTTGGGCTCGCATATTGAATAACCGCAATACAGCAGTATTAGTAATAATTATCCAATGGCGTGGACCACCTCCAGTCCCTTGCAGTTACCATGTGCAATGGGAAAGGATTGCATGGGCCACTGTCCAGAAATAAAAGCAGAGGAAGGTCAGTGACTTATCCAAGGCCAGGCAGCGTATCACTGGAAGGGCTGTGTACAAAAGCCAGGTCAGTTGGGTTGCAGATCTGCGTCTAACCATACGTCGTGACCTTTTCCTGCCTCATTAAATATGTTTCTTGGAACCTTGGTATTAGCAGGAAAAAAAAAAAAAAAAAAAAGTTTCAGAAGGAGTGAGGAGGGTTACACCTGGTTCTGCTTTCACACCCACTTTTCAGTAGGTTAGAGCTGGTCTTCACCACGCAAGAGCATGTCATACAGGGACGCTTAAGCTGTCGGTGAGTGCTGTGGGATGTGCTGAGCTCAGGTGTGGTGCTGCACGAGCGACAGCCCTGCTGCCCCGGGAATCGTACTGGATGGAGATGGGTGGTTGCAGCAGCTCAGACTGGTGCTAGATCTGGGATGACTACGGTCAGTCCCCTGAGGAGTGTAGGCAGACTGAAGAGTCGAGGTACGCTGGGTCCTCTGCCCCTGAAGAGTGTCGGTATTCCTTAGCTTAGGTGAGATTTAAGCAACTGTTGTAAATAGAAGGTCAAACCCATTCCTGGATTAACCCACTGATGTGGGTTTGTTTTAAAGTTTGTTTTTCTTGCGTTTGAGGTGGCCTCTTATCTCTTCTGTCAAGGAATAGCAGTTGTGGCATCAGAGAGTGGTTTGCAATAGTGGTGTTTGCAGGCTGTCAGATCCCACAGCTTCCCCTTGGCTTTCCTTTCATAAACGAGGTTGTTAGATTTGGAGGACGGGATTTTAAAAAAAGAATGAGGAACAGAAGGAAAAAGAAGAAGGAAATGGGAAGGGAAGGCGGCAAGACACGATTGCTCTCTGCTACAGATTTTGTGGTTTGAGATGATTTTGAGAACTGCCCTTCCGATAGCTTTTGAAAAGTGAAAGGAGAACTTATAAAATAAGAACCCTAAGATATTTCAGTCACGTGTATCCCTTCATTTGGGGGATATTCATTTGGGATTCATTCATATGGGAGAATTGAATGGGAAGTTAAACACTGTGGGTCTTAGTGGAAAAAAATAAAATCAGTGTCCTCTACTTAGTATGTTGGTAAAGATGTAGTTAGTCTGCTGAATCATGTCTGTCTGCAGGGTTCTAGGGTAGAAGTCGCTGGTCAGCAGTCTGTAACCAGGATCCTGTAATAAATCCACAAGGGCCCTGTGTTGGTTGCTGCGTTTCATAAAGTGACTCCTCAGGACTTCACATTGGAATTAAAGAGCTGTCGTCCCTTCCTTCTTCAACAGAAGAGGAGGGTGGCCGTGCTCTGCTGGTGGAATTGCTAGTGCGAGGGGTTCTGTGATGCTCTGTTTTATTTATATTCCAACAGAGGGGCAATTTTCAGTTGCAAAATACGTATCCACAGTCTCGTTTACATGGTGCATACAGCCTCCTCTCGGGAGGTGTGCACACCAGCTCACTGCTGTGTGTTTTAGAAGAGGTGAGGGTCTCCTAAGACAATCTGTCTCGGTGCTGTCTAACATTTTCTATGTATGTTTCTATATATGTTTGTCACGTGCCTGTGAAGTAGCGAATTACGAACCAAGAGTGACTAATGAGTTGAGGAGCCAGGAAAAGTTATCTGGAGCAAAGAGAAGTGTGTGATAACTTTTTAGACTAATAGGATGCAAAGGTGAAAGCCTAACAGACTGTGTGCCGTGAGTCAGTCCTGCACCAAAAGTGACTCAAGAGGGGCACCTAGAAATGATCCGGGGGAGCACGAGAGCAGGGATGTGGGGGTGCTGAGTGGGGTAGTTGTGTCAGCTCTTGGTAACAAGGAACTCTCGGTCTGTATTGAAGTCAAGGGTTAAATGTTTAATCCATGAATTAGTGTAGGAATTAAGAAAGTCTACTTGACATCTGAAATCACAGGGAGGCTTTTTCTGAGTGATAAAAAAGCCTCTTCAAATTATTTAAAGCATTCTCTTGCATTTTAAAACTCAGGGAAGCTTTGCAAGTGAGATGGGTAAATTTTGTCTCGGTTAGTAATAACTTAGTTCACACAAAGGACAGCAGGATTTTTCTCTTTGTCCTGCCACGGCTTTAAAAGGAGCGAGATCCTGGTTTCGGTTGCAAAGAAAATGCTCCCAGTTGCCATTTCTGTGAATCCTACTCTGAGCCTCGGTTATAGAATCACATCATTTGGTCATCTTGGAGCCTTCTGGGCACTGGGGCTCCAGCGTAGCTTTGAGACCAATGCTCAAGCAGTGCCTTGAGACCCCCAGAGGCGCCGAATTCGGATGTAACTGTTCGCATTTTTATTTGCTTCCTGTACGACACAGGCTTGAAAACTCAATGGTAATTTCGCTAGAGTAGCGACGAGGACAAAATGAATTTCCTTTGCCCGGGTATCCGAGGGAGGTTTAAAAACTCTAAACAGCACAGGATTCACTTGGGAAGTTCAGAGTTTATAAAGCAGCTCCATTACTTGTTGCGAAGCCCTTGGTCTGCCTCATGCCGCGCTGCATTACATATTAACGCAGGGTTTGCATTATATATCAACGCAGCTTTGTCCTCAGATACCCTACTGTGGAGAAGGCCATTTTTAAATCTTTAATAGGGCATTAGAGCAATTTGCCTGTGATTTAGTTCTAAGTGGGCAAGGAGAGTGGTGACAAACAAAGCCGGGAGGCCCTAAAATTCTTTGAATATTCCATGTTTTCCTGGAACTGTTGGGAAAAGGCTGCCAGAAAGGTCTTGGCAGGTTTTCTAGGTGACTGGCCAAGTCTGAAGCAAATGTGGATAGTTAATAGGCTAATGCAGCTGTGGTTCCAAGTCCATACATATACAACATACGTTTTTATTTAAGAAATCCCACCGCATGGAGGAGCAAATGTAGTGCTAATATATCTTCCTGAAAGAAAATAGCAAGGGGAAAAAAAACCACTGTCATCTTGTCGTGGTAAAATAAGGGATCTTTTGCCCTTACTTTTTAGGGACTTGGACTGTCAGTTGAAGAATGGGAGACGTAGGAAATGAAATCGGTAGACAGGCAGGGGCTTTCCCATGAGGGCTTCATATTAATCAGGAATGGCTTGTAGAGCAGTAGTTTGTGTCTAAGGGAAAAGGCAGAAGTTGTTCAAAGAATGGATTTCTGTTGCTAGATTGACTTTTTTGTTGTTACCGTGCAAGTAATTAAAAATGGCAATTAAGCAGGAAAGCAATCAAATAATAACCTGGGACCTGCTGCTGCAGTTGGTTCCGTGTGGACACTCTCTTCTAGCGTAAAGTCTGAGGCCACCTCTGTGGGTCAAACCCCAAGAATTAAGTGCTGCTACTGCATCACCCCAGGTATGGGCTGGTTTGGGAGGGGTTGCTCTGGGCACCAAGGTCGGAATCTGGGCATCAAGGCCCCCCAGTCGTGCCTGGTGGTCCCAGGCACCCAGGGAATAGGTGGTTACTGTCACGACTGGCGGTTGTTCCTGCGAAACGTGAGTTCAGATTTCTCTGAGACACCAGGTGAATTAGCTTTGTAATTTTACAGTTGTCTTCGCTGTGAGGGAGCCTTGTTCATATTCAGCTCATGGGGCCTGTCTTGTTTTATTATTAATGGGGCAAAGACTGTGCACAGCCTCTGCCCTTGTAGTGAAACAATTTATTATTTTTATTATTAAGCAATTGGTGCAGACCCTGAAGTTCTGCTGCAGACTCCTTATGGGATCTTGGCTGAGTCACTTTTTTTTTGGGTTTGTTTTTATTCACTATCTATAAAATAGAGGTCCCTGTTCCTCGTAAGGAGTATTGTAAAGACAGAGGAACTGATCATACGTGAATTGTTCAGAGACAGTCGTGTTGCATGTCGCACTGGAATTGCAAGTGAGCATACTGTGTATCTCTATGGAGAAATATTTTATAGGGGCTGCCTCCATGCTGACATGCATTCATTAGCTGTACGGAGTTCAAACTGACAATATTTATAATCTAATACTACTGCTATACATACAAAATCAACTTGAAAAGGTTATTATTATACTTTAAAAATCCTAATTGAAGCATTTCATTTCTTATCATAACAAGTAACGTGATACTCAGATTTTTGCATTCCTCATTTTCTATCTCATAAAAATGTTACACTGTCTTTTTGCGTTGTAAAACCAAATAAATTTAAGTTTAGGCTGTACTAGAGCCTGCACGGCAACCTTCAGTGATGCAGAAGTGTGGACTGGCACCAGGAGTGGGGAGACTGGCTGCTTCGCTTGCATCCCGCTGCGATTTCTGGCACGCAGAGACTGAGCAGGGTCTGATGGGCCAAACGTAAGTCCTCCGAGGTTGCTGCCTCTTCCTCGTGTTCCGACATTCATTCTGTCTGTCACATGCCTCTTGATACGCGGCTTTCTAATTTTTAACACGCTCTCAACACCAGTGAAGCAACTGGAAGCGGGTTGGTGTATGTTAAGAGCTCTGTGTCTGGTTTCACAGGAGGTAAGGGCGACTAGGCTTGCGTTCAGACTTCCTCTGCGTTAGAGTGCCCAAGCCTCTTATTTCTTTGACAGCAATACCTCAATGGCTTGGCATCCTGTAGCTACCCTGTGAGAAGAGACTCCCTGTCCCCAGGAGCTTCCAGTCTAAATAGATAAGGCAGGCAGAAGAGGAAACACAAAGAGATGGAGAGACTTGCCCAAGCCACTTAGCGTGTCGAGCGGCGGGACTGGGAATAGGAACAGGGCTTTTGAATTCTCACCACTGTCATCACCACTGGTTTGGGATTCCTCTGGCTGGTGCTGTGCCAGCTTCTGCCTGTCCCTGCACAGGGGTCGGTGCTGTGGGCCCACCTACCAGCTGTAGAAAATATTTTGGTTGTCCTACCTTTTGGTTTAATCCTTAAGCAGTGGCTGAAACAAGTATTTTTTTTTTTTCTTGAGAGAAATGTGCCTTCATGTATTGTTTAATTTTTTTTAAAAAAATTGTGTCAAGTGCAGGTTGTAGCTAGAGTACTAGAAAACCTGAAAAACATTGTTTGTTTTATCTTTTAAATAATTCCACCCTCCCTTTAAAAAGATAGTGCTGGTGAAAAAGGGCTGAGTCTGGCAGGAGGTCTGGGGGATATTTAAGGAGGAACCTGCTTTGAGGCTCTTCAGGTCCCTGTAATCGCTCAGGGCTCTTTACAAACATTAATTAAGGCTCGGAGTCACAGCTCCTGTCTCATGTGCAGTAGTTACGTTACCTATTTGTGCTGGTTTTAGGTAGGGGAGAACTGGAAATAGACTGCAGGACTAAGGGTCCACAGTGAGTTGACTGAGATGGGAACAGATCTGTGGAGCAGGCAGCAGCCCTCCAGTCTCTGACTTACACTCCCCCTTTTACAGAGAGACCCTAGCGCTTCTTCCCTATTGAAGCAGAATTCATTCTAGCTCTGCTCTTACTCACATGGATTTCTAATTTAAATTTAATTTTCTACTTTTCCTGCCAGGTCAGATTCCCAGAATGTCCCTAAACTTTATGCATGCTTCTGAAGTTGAACCTAGGTTCAGCAGTTTAGATTCTAATTGAACAGCCTCAACATGGTATTATTTTTACTGGCTTTTTCAGAAAAAAAAAAAAAATAAAAAGAGTTGATTGAGGGACACCATTTTTTTCAGGCAGTGATTCTAGTGAAATTTCAAGTAAACCTTAAAAAAGTGTTAAATGTTGACCAGACAAAGTTTTTGTAGCAGCCTTGTAGGTTAACGTATTAATATAGCTCCATCACTTAGTAACTATTTCAGAATTTGTCAGACTTTCAGTAGAAAGCCTCGGATCTTAAGAAATTACATTGCCAGCTCAAAACACGTTAGATTTATCCGATATTTTAGTGGGGTTCTTGGAACTTTTGTTACGTTTTAAGTGAATCGAGTCTTATTTGAAACTTTTGGTGCACCTGAAACCATGTGAAATACGAGGGGTTTCAGGTGCTTTGTGTGATACGGAAATGGCAAATCCTGCAAGAGTAGATGAACTAATTTTTTGTGTGACTTCATCCACATGAATTCGAGTTTCACCTTGAGTTTCAGAGTTTGGTTAAGTCCGGTATACGTAGGAGAACTCAGGGATAAGGGCAGATTGTTACCTCCGCAACGACACCACGCACAGGACTCTAGGTACTGTGTTCTCACTCCTCACACTGTTTGAGACGGATGAATTCATCTCTGTAACCTTTCCTTTCAAATCCCTCTGTTCTGTCGACTGACCTTGAGCTCTTCCCATTTCCCTACACTTGGTTTTCAGTGAGGACGTGGAATGGTGCCGTATTCCAGGGCTTTTCACTAGGCTCAGCTCAGCGGGAGGTGAACAGCACTGCCTCAGTTTGCTTTTCGCTTGCTTTACTCACCTTGGGATAGAATTGTTTTATGGCTGTCTCACCTTATTATTTTAATTGCTCGCCATTATCCAGGATTTGGTACAGTTGGAGCCCAAAGGACTTTGAGAAATCCGTTGGCAGAATTGGGGGGTGGAGAGAAAATACAGCCCCCACTTTTTAAGCTGTGTTGCTGTCAGGATAGTGCTTGGGTGAGGTAGTTTGCTGACATAGCTGGGTTTGGAGGTGGAAGGTTGGTGGGTGATGAACGGGAATTTGCGTGATCTTCAACCACACTCCATCCTCTCTGTTGACTAACAGGGTATCAAATGAGGATAACAAAAGTAATCTGGACATGGTAGCTCCAAGGACCGTAAAACACTCCAAGGATATGGTAAGCACTGTTGTGATGGTTCTGTATTGTGGGGAAGCAAGGTAGGAAGAGGTGAAGTGATTTTCTCACTGATCTGATGTGGAATTGGACAACGGTATACAGAACAGTGAGGTTCAAACTAGAAGCTTTTGGTTGTTGAACTCCTCACTTGATGGAGCACTGTCTGGTAACGCCCAAATCCGTGCACCTTTGCCCAACTTTGCTTCCATGGATGTGCCCACACTGTGAATTTGTGCCTTTCCTCACGTCGTTGGAATTCATTTGTATTAGTAAATAGTTTTCACTCCACTGAAAACATTTTACTCATTTGTAAACTCTTTTCATTTATGCTGTCCATGTAGCTGAGATTTAACTGTTATTTTAAAGGTATTTCTGTATAATTTGTCTAGATGGAAGGTATTAACTTGTCTCAAAAGGGCCTTAAGGTTTTCTAGTTAATGCTTAAGTCCCTAAAGCATCCTCTCTGTCTGAGCATCCCTTCTCCTATGTGTCTTCTCCTTCGCTTATTCCAGCTGGTCTCAGAAAAAAAAAAAAGAGTAATAGTTGGTCTTTACCCTGCTTTCTGCTGTAACTGTGCACCTACTCAAGTCTCTTCTTCCTTTGAACCTGTCGTTGTGATTAAATTCATTCTTCCTTTCTGTTTTCCAGCTTCTCTCTGCAAACTTCCTCTCACTCCATTTCCGCAAGAACTTTCCCTGCAAACCAGGATTAGTGGCGGGGGTACCGATTTATTTAGACCCACTTCAGCATGGTAGCAGGCAAACAGAATTCTAAGTTACCGAGTTGTTAAATAGCCTGTAGCACATGAAAGAAGCTTTAGTGTGCTAGTGCAGTTCAGCAGGACAAGTGTCTCCCTCACAGCTGCTCTGTACATAGCCCCATTTCTGGCGTTTGGATTTTTTTTTTTTTTTTTTTCCTTCTTAACCTGGTAATATGAACAGGCGTGCTCAGGACTAAATGGTCTGCAGAGGCTTGGCCCCTTTTTAAATATGAGAATAATTTTCAGGCCTCTTTCAGTTGTGCTTATTTCACTCAAAAAAAAAAAACCAACCCAAACCAAAACCAACAAACCAGAACAAAAGAGAGAAATATGAGGAGTTGTGGAAACCCCTCAAACTTCCTCTGTTTAAATTTCAAATTCCTGGTGGTCACAGTGCCAGGTGATTTTGCCATTTGTGTTTTCTTCTGTAGTGCCTGGCTTGAACGATCCCAAAGCAGCAAGCTGAGTTAAATACTATGATCAAAAGAGAGCGACGCCTCTATTTTTTTTTTTTTTTTTTTTTGGAGGCCCTTATGTTTTGGAATTTGAGTCTTTGAAAAACAAGGTTACTGGACTCTAGTAAATGAAGTGTCCGGATGTTAGTGATGATTCATAAAAGCAATTAAAAAAAGCGAAAGTGCTTTTCCGCTGAGCGTAATGTCTTGGTTTGAAGGTGTTCTTCAGTGTGTGTGTAATTCTGCAAATAGTAGTCATTGGATAGTGACCACTGTGCTGAAGATTATGGATCTGTTTCCAGCATAACACTTCTTTTCACATGGTTCTGATGATCAAAACTTTTTTTTTTTTTTAAGTAGTTGAATCTTTCTTATTTAGTTTCTAGTTCAAAAATAGTTCCCATCTCTTGCTTCTTAAATTTGTGGGGGAAAAAAAAAAAATCTACTGAGGATGTAATATTTTCCATGGGAGAAATGTGTTTTTTGCAACGTAAATATTGTAGATGTCAGGTAATGGAAATTCATCAAATACGATTATTTTTTTCCCCAGTGCTACGCTCTTGCATTTCAGCCCTGACCTTCCACAAACACAAAATGCCTCATTTTTGTACAGCTTTCAAAGCCATTTTCAATAAGCAAGACTGAACTCGGTTAAAACATGATTAGGGTGATTGTTGTATACAAAGATCCATCAGCCTGGCCACGTTACCTAAGCAAGAAGTAGACCCCGAGGCACGCTCTACAAGCTTCTTCCCACATGGCTTTTCAAGTCATCTCAACCAACCTGTTAGCTGTGAGGGATGGCTTTTAGGCTCCGCGGCTGCTCTTCTAGAACAGACACTTCCAGTTTTGCTGCCTTCTCCAAGTGGATGCCTCTTGCTTCTCTTGGGGCCTGGGCATATTCCAAAGTTGGGGCTTCAATTTGCTTTGCCCTCACATACTGCCCTTGGTTAGCCCTCACATAGATGCTAAGGGAAGCAAAATAGTTTACTGATTTCTCATGGATCATTAGATGGAGTAACTATTCTTAAAACATCACCAGTATAGATACAATAATTAGAGATGTGCTTTTGTTAACATTGCCAGCCTCTACCCTCTTGTACAGTACCCTTGGGTACTAAATAATTACCCACTTTGTGTGGTTATCTAGCTCACTAATTACCCACAAAAATTGGGGTCAGGTGTTAACTGCTTGAAATAAGTATCCTCCAAAGACTTGGTTAAATTGTATAAAGAAATTATGTGTTTGCAACAAAACTTTAAAAAAAAACAAAACAAAACAAAACAAAAAAAAAACCCAAACCAAAAGAAAACACCCAACCAGACTTTTTTTTTTTTTTTTTTTTTTTAGACAACGGATGCAAGTTGTTCTGTGTGATGGCAAAATCTTGCACATTGCAGTGCTGCTGAGGGAATCTGTAAAGGGAGTGAAAGGATGGTTGGCACATACAGTCTCTCTAATCCAGTCTACTTTTCCCAAAGATTAGATCCTTTGGTACACAGGGTTTGATTCTTCCCCTATCTAGGCTGATGTCAGTCAGGATTATGTCGGTATAAATAAGAAAATTTGTATCCATGGGTTCCTGGACTGACTTCACTGCATAGTCCCACCTCTTCTGTCACCCAGGGGCTTCTGCGCTGCACCCAATAATTTAATTGTGTGTTGTGTATTTATTTTCCATGTGTTTATTTTAGTTGTTTCAAACTCTGTATGCATGCAGAATTTCATTCAAAGGCTGCTGCTCATAAAATGTAGCTCTCTTTGAGTAATAATTTAATTCCTGTGTTCAGGGAGTTACCCCAGTGAGTCAAAGATTTCTAGATAGCCCCACCCTCCCCAACTTCCCGAACACTTACGCTGCAGTCACTTTCCCTTTGCCAGACCCACACAAGATGTCTAACTAGCCAAAATCCCAAGAGGCAGCTTCTCCTGCCTCCCCCATCTTAGCCCCAGAAAAGTGGGAAATCGAGCCACGGAAGCCCTAAAGCCTTGAAATCCCCGGCATGGGATGTCTCAGAGATCCTTCCTAACCTGGTTTCTTGCATAGGTGCTCTCTGTCTTGGATACAAAGGAAACAGATTTTCAGTGGGAGCTGAGAAGGTGTTTCTGGAAATCCCGCTGCGTTCGGATTCCCAGATGCCTCCCAGTCCTTAGCACCCGAGCAGTGCCCAGCGTAACAAAGAAACGGCCTTCTTTATTTATTTCTGTCTTTTGCGTTAGGTGCTTCCCCTCCTTTAGAGCGAGTACCACCTTCTGTTCCCACACCCGCCTTCCGAAGCCTGTGCGCAGTCAGGGCTTGGGCACTAACAGCCCCCACCTCCCCGCTCCATGGCTGGGGCAAACGTGGGGTCCCAGGTAAGGCCCCCCCCAAGGCGAGGTGTGCGCCCTGTCTTCGGGGACATACCTGCGCTCCGCATTGTGTGGCGCATCTCTGGAAAACGCAGGGATCAGCCTCATGAAGCACAATGCAGATTTAGTCGTCATCTTTGTCTCTCCCCCCCCCACCCCCCTCCAACCCCCCTG